TCTCAGAGGTGGTTCATGGATGTAGATGTAGATATGAAGGCGGAATAGAGAGGGTTGGACACTCTAAGGGAGCAGCTGGAAGAAGAAGATGAATGAAAAAATAAAAGCCAGTCTTGATGATCGTGACCTCACAGTGGAGAGGTTTGTAGCTGAGAGTGAAGAGGCTGGGATGAGAATTAACACCTTAAAGTCACAGCTGGAAAATGGACAGCAGTGAAGAGTAGCTGCTGCTCCGAACTGAGTTTAAGTCAGGGGTGCCTCCAGAATTTTTTCCATCAGGGTGGCGCCCCTGGTTTAAGTATGAGGAGAGTGAAGCAGGAGACTCATCGACTGCTGTGGCATCAGCAGGTATGTGGAAGCTGTGCTGGTCTGTAGTGGTGAAAGTAAAACTCTCGATTTACTGGTTGTTCTACATTTCTACTCTCAGGCCGCGAGCTCCTGTGGATACTTGAGGTGGAAATGAGCTTCTTCAGAAATGTGTCTGGGCTCTCCCTTAGAGAGGTGATGGTGAGCAACTTGGTCATTTGGGAGGCGCTCAAAGTAGAAACGGCTACTCCTCCAAATCAAAAGGAACCATTTGTGGTAGTTCAGACATCTGAGCCGGGTATGGATGCCTCTTAGATGATGTGTTTTAGACATATTCTACTGGGAGGAGGCCCCTGGAGTAGATCCAGGACATGCTGGAGAGATTACATCTCTTGGCTGGCACGGGAATGTGTCAGTGTGTCCCTGGATGAGGTTAAGGAGGCGGCTGAGGAGAGGGATGGATGGATGATCATAACGGTTCAAATAAAAAGGGGGTTTAATACAACATCAAATAAAAGGCACAAAAGTAGATAATTGCTTTTAAAATTTGTCTTGAATATGAATTCATTCATGCAAATAGTTCTGGCTTATTTTCTTGACCTTTCCCCCCCCCCTCCCCCACATTTAAACTGTGGCAGTTTTGGTCCTCCATATACACAGCTCACTCCTCATCTTTTATTCTGGTGTTTACGCTCAGAAACAAACAGAAATAAAGATAAAATATCATAAATCGGGATCACATGTCATTCTGCACCACGTTTGTTTAACATGTATGTTGCATGACTCTGAGCTCAGGACAAAAGTCACATGATTCCTTTAGAGATGTCATGTGACTCCAGATTACTGAGGAAAATGAGTGAAGAGCTCCATCTGCTGGACAGCTATTGAAAAACATGCTTATGTTTCTGTTTTTTCTCATATAAAATTAATATTCCTGTCCTGTATTCCTCGCCTATGGTTGCTCACATGTATGTCTGCAATACTTCAACACCAAACTATGGATGAACTGGTCACTCTGTAACACTCTGGTTTGGAGATGTGAAATATGTTTCAGATATTTGGAGTTATATATTTAAATATTTTGTGAAAAATCACTTAAATCAGATTCTTCTATAATGTTAAGAAACAAAAACATCGAGCTGGACCACATGAAGCTTACATTTGTTAAATTAGTGTGCGTTACCTAGAAAAGCCACAAGGGGGCGCCAGTGTTCGGCAGCCTCGCCTCTGTCAGTGCGCCCCAGGGTGGCTGTGGCTACAATGTAGCTTGCCATCACCAGTGTGTGAATGTGTGTGTGAATGGGTTGATGACTGGATATGTAAAGCGCTTTGGGGTCCTCAGGGACTGAGTAAAGCGCTATATAAATACAGGCCATTTACCATTTACCATTTATACAGCTATTTTATGGCACCATAATGAAGCTGTTTTAGAATTATTACAGTATCACAAGACAGAATCTACAGGGGGGAAAGTGTTTCTGAATAAAGTGCAAGTAAAAAATGAACCTAATAACTTGTAAATCATTTATATTCTATAGTTAAATAAAAATAAAGTGCAACATTTCAGAAACATTAAGACAGCAGAAGATTTCTCTCTCTGCTGATCTTTAAAAATAAGTATTTTTACAGGCTTCAAATCCATCTTTTTGTTTTCCACTGTTGTTTTAAAAATATAAATTTTAAGCTCCACACTCTCGTGTAACCTCAGTTTATTAAATCACACGTTTCTGTCCAGCCGACCTTCTTCAGGGTGCACCTCTGAACCAGTTCTGTTTCCCGCTGCTGTGACATGAGGAGTGAAGCTGTTGCTCTTCACAGTTCAAAGAATAATAAAGCTGCCCTGACGATGGTGCCTCAGCACCCTCAAAACCTTCATAATTAATTAAGAGTATAAATTATAAACACTCATGTGCTGTCCAGCTTTTTTTTTTTAAATAAAATAAAATAAAGCAGAGCTTCAAGGTGTATTTTTCACAGCACAGATCACAGCATTCATCAACATGATCTGACCCAACCAACTTCTGTGATTCTTCATTGTCAGACTTTTTCTCTGCTGCTTTGTCGCATTTTTAAAAATAATTTTTAAATATGCAAAAACAAGAAATACGTTTGAGCAGTCCTCAGGAATAGTTTTCCAGGCTCCTCGAAGGAAATTCAAAGGTCTTCTTTGGATGTTTCAGCTTTTTATTCTGTTGTCTGTCAGGATGATCCCACAGTGCTTCAATAATTTTAAAGTTGTGCTGTAAAGCTGTTGTCAATCAAACTGAAACTAAAAAAGAAAAGAAACGAACAAACAAACAAACAATCTTTGAAAGAGCTTCTGAAACCTGAAAAACTGTTGCTCAAGAGGACTTGGGCGCACAAGATAAAGAAATGAGGGATGGGTCAAGACTTTTGCGCAGTACTGTATGTAAAGTAAATCACAACAGCTAAACTGTAAATCAAAAAGAGATTTTAGGACTGTTTCCTTTGGATTTTGTGTCAGAAGAAATTTATATTCCCATTCTTCTTTAAGAAAATAAAGAAGAGAAAGTTGTCCTCCATGTGATTCTTTCAGCAACAACATTTTTTCAAGTCTTTGGCCTAAATGTCCTGAAACATTTCAAACCTCAGTTATCCTGCTGCGCATCCACTCAGCAATCACCACTAGATGGCAGCCTTGAGTCAAACTTCACCATGTTTGCCAGTTTCCCTCAAATGCTGATTTATATCCCGAAGGCCTGAAAAACCTTGATTAACATTTTAAGAGACCAGTCCCGTCATATTAGTTCACTTAAGACCAGTTCCTCCTTCGCATGCTTTAATGGGTTTGTCCCTGACTTTGTATGAAAACAGTGAAAACCCTCCATCTTTATTCTCTGATTTTACAAGCTCCTGCTGGCTACAGGAAAAACAAACTGTGACTGCAATTCATTCTTTAAAAGAACAACACTAATGGGAGGAATAATTAGAGGAGAGCCATTAGTTTTTTGACCTTTTGTAGTGGCCCTGTTTTGACTCACATTCTGATTCTCTAAAAGTCTGCAGTTTTAATGGAGGCAGTGCTCTTATGCTTTTGTCCGCTTGTATAAATCTTTTCCACACAGGACATTTTGAGACTTTACAAAAAGAAAAGCACAAACTCACTTTAGCTGATAGATGTGTTTGATGTGTTTCTAAAACACACATTCGATTTTTCCATTTTAACAATTCGACACATCTGCTTTGTTACAGTTGTTTGTTACTTTATCCACTCATTGTGGGCATGAATAGTAATTTGGGGCTTTTTCCAGGCTGGAATGATTGTGCAGCAAACATCTTTAATGACTTTGAAAGACAAGAATTGGGTGCACAACTTTGAATATATGTAGGATTTTCTCTAAATGATAATTGCCCACTAATATTTGGTTAAACTTCAGCACATTGCACCTTGACCAGATACTTTTGTTGGCATCAACGAGCTTCTGGCATTGTTCTCGCTCGATCACTGGTTTCCTGGCACAGGATCCCTTCACCCCCCCTCTCCCCTCTTCCTGCTAAAGGGGAGTTCTTCCTCCCCGCACTCACTAAATGCTGCTCATGAGGAAGGAAAACCTGCTGCTTGGTGGTGTTTCCTCTCTGATATTTTAGTGTCTTCACTTTGCAACGTAAAGCACCTTGATGTGACCTTTCTTCTGAATTTTTGCTTTATAAATAAAACTGAATTGAATTCAAGCAAACTTAACAAACCACCCTTTAAAAGTGAAAAAATCTCCATTTAATGTAGATGGGCACATATCAGTGCACACGACACGGGTCAGGTAAAAAAAGGCATGAACATTTATGTGCAGAAACATATTAATAACACCCTGCATTACTCTTCTTCTTCCATGTTTTTATTGGAATGCTAACAAACGTGTGAATCTAAATATTCAGGGCGATGATGCCTCATGCATGTCCATATTCTTCTGCTGGATTCTCTTCTGCACTGCAGCACTGCATGGTGGAGGACTGCTGATGCAGTCTGATTGGTAAAGTGAGTCACAGTGAGCCAAACCTGTGGCTTGAGGCTTCCACTCATGCAGAAAAATAAAAATAAACCCACTCAGCCAAACTGATTATTTCTGTAATAGCCTGGAAACTGTTATCATTATGCTTAGCTTCCTCATATGGCTGCTTAGACTGACTGACACTAAAGAAGAAATGAACTTTTCTAGATGGAAAATTCCCATGAAGTTGATGCAAAACGAGACAAACAAACAAACTGGAAATCCACTTATTTATGCCAGGTTTATTAGAGCTATGAGTGCTGCTGACACGAATATTGGCCACGCTTACTGTAAGTGTTAAATTCTCCCGGCCAGCAGCTTTTTTTCATTTGAATACCATCCAGACAGGTAAACACCCAAAGGAGCAGCCATGAGGTATTATAGTCATTATAATATTTACAACACCTGAACTTTTGCTACCATGACAACATGCTTTTTCTTCTTCTTTTTTCAACATGCACAGTACATGGGTTTGACATGACAGATTACCCCGAGGCCCTGTTTTAAATGTCATGAGTAGGAAGTCCAGCTCACAACCTATCAGCTGTGCGGCAAACAGGGATGAATAATTTAAAACTACAGTGTGTAAGCTGAACAAAGGAGAAATGGGGGGGGGTTGATGTTCAGTGGGATTATAGTATGTGAGATTAACAACAAGCTAACTGTGTTTACTCCTTTGCCCTGCAGCTACACCATCAAGACTGATCCGTGATAATAATCCCCAGCTGGAGAACAAACAACATCTGGGTGTGGAGAGAAGGGAGAGGGCGAAGCCTCAGCTGGGTGGGCGGCAGATGGTGACACTGCAGCAACACTTCTCCAGGTAGCACAGTCATCACGCTGCACTCACACTACATCCTCTCCTAAGACTGTTTATGAATGTTTTTGAGGGAGATGCACAAAGTGTATGGAGACTGTGTGAGAGTCTAAGAGGGCTTATGGACTACACAAACTATGACGTGGCTTTGTGGGGACTGTCTCACCAGAGATTGCAATAATGGTTTGCCCCAAACGTCCCACTTTGCAGTCTTCTTTGGGCTCCATTTGGGTTTGGTTGACAGTGTTCACTCATGGTAAATGCAGCTGCCTCTGCCATAGGCTGTTCATATAACATTTACTAGCAGTGCAACCGCTCTTTCAGTGCCATAAGTATTCCACACTGTGCCTAAATTTATCTGCTATCATATCATATGTGGCTGTCTCAACTTAGCCATAGCTTTCAGGTATGATGTGACATTTTGGGCCACATCTAGCCCCCAAAAAACTAATCACTGACCATTTGTTGACTCTGGCGTCTCCTCCCAGAGGCAGCCGCATACCAGATGACCAAACCACCTCAGCTGACACAAAGAAACACCAGTTCTGCTCTGAGAGCCATCTGGATCTCCAAGGCTCACCCTATCTCTAAGACTGAGCCCAGCAACCCTACAGAAGAAACTTATTTTGTCTGTTTGTATTCATCCTCCTGGAGCAACTCTAAAGTTTTTGCATGGAAGAAAGAAGTCTGGAATACTCTGCTTAGCCTGTTGCCACCACCTTCTGACTTTAGACAAGTGATGGATGGATGGATGGATGGATGGATGGATATGACTCAGGATAAATATGGCTGTCTTAATCCAGCCACAGTTCCACATTGTATTGTCTAAGTATCTGAAGTGTTGTAACATCTGAGCCACTACTGCTTCAATTTGAAACCACGTCATGACTTTTGACCACATCTGGCTCATCCAACAGCTGTCATGACCCATATCGAGCACGGCTCATGACTTTTGGGAGAGCCAAAAGTAGGCCTGAATAGGCCCAAATGTGGTGGTCTTGACAGCAACATCATTACATCCATATATTGCCTACTGCTTATCTGGCTAACAGAAGCTAGCTTGTTTTTTCAAGATTTTTTTTTTAGAGGAACTGCACATGTGACCAACAGTGCTGCATTCAAATGCCACCAGTCAGTATCCAGAGCTAGGTGTAGACAATTAGACCCATTAATCATCTACACCTTTATTATATTACATTACAGTGTAATTACTTCAGTGCCATTACATCACCACATAACAAGCCAGTATGTCACTTAGGGTTGCATGAAGTTTTTTTTTTTAAACTTTTCAAAAAGTTTCCCCTCTAACATCGCACCTCATACCTCAGTTTATTAAAATCCATTGGCCACAGCCCATAAAAAACTGTCCAGTTGGGATGCAAACAATCTAAAGCATATCCATCAATGCTCGCCACAGCCCGATGTGACGAACCGCTGGGCTTTTGCGGTGTCGTCCAGCGGTTTCATTAAGGTAAGAGCCCACTGCAGGTCGTCTTTGAAATGAGAAGAATCTACTCAGTTTTAATGGAGTGCCCCACACTAAAAACTCAAACTCATGTCCACTTATTGATCTCCCCTCCTGGCATCTGATAAAGGGGAAATAATAACCAAGCATTATGTCCAGCCAACTGTTAGGCTACTGACGGTGCCCCGTCATCCGAGTTCGATCTGCATATGCTCAGCGAGGTGTGAGATTAGGCCTCCAATATTTGTGACCGTAAGTTAATTCTCTCCCCTGCCAAGCAGAAGATATTTGATCTGCTGCCCAATATTTAGGAAAATTACAGAAGATATTAGCCATTTTTTCACTCTCTCTCTGTCCCTGATAGATAGCAAAGTGTCAGGCAGTTAAAAATTATAAAAAGAAATAAATAATTCTTAAAATCAGAAAATAACAAATGAAGCATTCACTAAATGTCAGGGTTTTAAAAACAGCTTTATTCAGTCTTTTTTTTTATCTTGTTACACGTCTCATCCAATGCAGTGTTTTGAAATAAATCCTGCCTCTCAGTGATCTGTTCATTACACTAATTTTGCAGCCTCTTTAAGCTGAGCTGCTAAAGCTCTGCAGGATATTTTCAGTCTCATCTTTTATTTACAAAAACATCTTTATGAGATATTTTCAAAATATCTAAACAGCTTCAATTTCATGCTAGTACATCGATCAATACCTGAAAAAGCTAACTCCAAATCAGGATGATTTGGCTGAGCATCAGCTGGGACAGTTTTTATTTTTCCTCCTTTAAAATGATGTTTCATAAAGATACAAAGCAGTTCACTCAAAGCAGTTTGAATCACAGAATCTTCTGGGATGATTTCTTTTGAGAATAGTTTATTGTTCACACATCTTCACAAAGAATATTTTCAATAATATGAAACAATCCCGATGGATTCCTTAAGGTTCAGGCACCAAAACAACTTGATTAGGTTAAGAAAAAAAAAGCTAGCTTCAAGTTCCACTCCATCTAATATTTGATTAAATTCTTCTGTATTTTTATATCTCCTATTTTATAAAACAACTCACATGGCATCAAAACTGCTAAATAACACACACATCATCATGTAGTCGATGTAATCCAGCTGCTGACTGACAAACAGAGCCTCTGTGAGAGGATGCCACACTCACACTTAACAGGATAACTCAGTGAGCTGAAGATAAAGACTGTGAGCTTGAGTGTATTACACCAAAGTAGGGAAAGGGGTCATTACTTAAGGGGGAATGTAGGCCATTCATTCATTCATTCATACATTGTTGTGCGTGATAGCTGAGGGTCAGGCTTTGGAAAGTGCAGCCTGTGGCAAAACATCACAAAGCGGCAGCAGCATCATCTGAGGGGTGAAGGAAGAGTCACTGAAGACCAGTATCTGCACGGCTGCTGGAGCAGTGTGACACACGTACTGTAAACACATGCATGACTACACATGTGTGTCAGTGGATGGTGAAATAATAAAAGACAATTTCATCTATCCAGATGTGTAAAGTAACATTTTTAGATTGTTTTTACTCCCATAATTATTCTTAACGCTTTGTTATAAAGTGATAAACTTCTGGTGTTGTAGAATGAAGCCAAATGAAGCACAAGTACCAAAAACTGCAGTTCTTCTACTGCCCAGTGAGTCAGTCCCCATAGAACCCCGTTTTAAAATGTCCAACTTTACAGAAAGAATAAACATGTTTACAACCTGAGACGAAAACATTTTGGTGCCTATGGACAGTTTCACGCTTTTATGACAACTGTACAAGGACTAAGTGTTCGATAACATGTTTTAAATTTAAGGGCGCGGCTGTTTTGACCCACAGGTAGGCACCTATAGCTGCTTTGTTTTTCGTACTCTCATGTTGGCTGGTTTGGATGATTTTTAAGGGCATTAAATAACAAATAATATGGCTTACTTATAATTACTACTACTGTCACACACAGTTGCTAAGCAAGTTCTTGTTTTTAGCATTAGCTAATAACTTAGCATGGCATCCTCATGGCATTGGTCAATATCCTGCATGTGGTACTGGCACATTGCACAAACTTCACCTCCAATCAGTAGCTGGAGTTGAATCATGGACACAACTGGGTGTTCCAATGATTTCAACAGGAATCAATGGACAATGATTCCAAACACACATATCACACATCAACCTGGTTTTGGAATGGATAAAGCAGGCTAATGTTTAGCTTCTGGAATAACCTTCCCAAATCCTTGATCTCAACCCTGTTGGAAATCTATAGACTGTGTTAGGAAACTAACCAGTTTAAATGGATTCTTCCAATTCTTCCTAGATAAGTAGTCAAATATCCATCCATCCCAAGAGCATTCCATAATACATTCTGAAAAGTGTTGTACGACTAATGGTCACTATCCAAGCACTGCATCATGCATCGTGCTGAAGAGTAGAGCCTCACTACTGCCTAATTCACCCTTGGTCTAAAATTGAAGCCCCAGAAGACAACTTTACAACCAATCGGTGACATCACAGCATCTTTTGAAGTGTAACAATTATAATCTCTGCACAGTTCAAACTCTCAGAATAATTTCTGTCTCTTGACAGCAGCTTAAGTCTGATAATTTATCTGAAGTCACAATAATTTCTGACCTTTGTACCCGCAGTAAATATGGGCTTGCTACTTTAAATCCAAATGATAATTGAAAAGCCTTATAGGTCTTCTGCTGAACTCTTTTATTATGCAGTCTTCTTCAACAGACAACAAAACAATGAGCACCACATTTGTATCAGCCGTTTCAAAAGAATGCAGCTGTAATAAATAGGCGAAGATATTGAGGCTTTTATTATGCAGAGGTCGTATTTCATTGTTATGCTATGTGTGACTGTTGTGGATTGATTTGTAGAGGTAATCGTCAGGAGGAGTCGGTGTATTATACGTCTGAAATCGAGAGTAATGAAATTCTTTAGGAGCTGATTGTGAGAACAGCTACCTCGACAGCTGCTGAATGAAACCAGAGCTTCTTTCTGGTGTATGGACTGACTCCTGTCAAAGAAAAGGTCTATCCAGTGTAACAATCCAACCCTGACTACAGTTTAAAACGGAGGGACTGGGAGTGAAAAGACAAAACAGGAAAATAAAACAGAGTAATATGTTTAAGGAATCCAATCCTGTTTCCTGAGCTCGGTGGGCAGCAGCTCTGAAATGAGGTCTGCTGGACAGTCAGATGTCTCAGCGATGAGTCTGCGATGGCGTGGCATTTACGAGAGCTCGTTATGACAGAGCCAGACAGGGCGAGTGCTTGTTTTTTTGAGAGCACTCAGCTGCACATTATATATTTTGAACACGGCCCACAGAGAGATCCTTAGACCCACTTTCCCTTCAGCGATGGACTGATGACTCGTGCAGCTAGCCTCATTTCAAATGACCAGCGGTCAGTCGGAATGCAGCGTGGCGTGAGGGAGGACCGATTGGGAAGAAAGTGGAGGCAGTAAAAACAACATGAATTTTGATGGGAATCAGGTGGACCTCGTGAGGAGCAGATGTAGTCTTATGACAATTGGATTA